GTTGTCCTTCCAACAGATACTGGGGTAGTCAAAGTCCCCCATGAGGACCAGGGCTTGTGAATGTGGGGCTGCTGCTCTCTGTCTATAGAGGGCCTCATCCACTTTATCCTGACCCATCAGCTCTCCGCTGGTCGGCTCCTTATCCATCCCTAGGTGAAACTCCATGCGTTCCAGTTGGCCATTGACATCAAGGGTGACACCCCCTCCTCATCTCTCCTGTCTGTCCTTCCTAAAGAGCCTGTGTCCTTCCGTTCTAACACTCCAGTCACAGGAGCCATCCCACCACATCTTTGGGATGCCAATAAGATCATAGTCCTGGAGGTGTGTGCATGTCTTTAATTCCTCTTGTTTATTCCCTATGCTACGTGCATTTGCATAGAGGCGTTTAGTTTGGTCCCCTAATGAAACTGACTCACTGGCTGCAGTGGCTGGAATTCCTTTCTGCTGCCCTTCAGGTGCTCTCCTGCTGACCTGTGATCCTCCTCCAGGCCCTGGGCATCTATTGCTGGCACTGGCATCAAACTGGCAGGGGTGGAATGGATTGAGGTTCCCCTCAAGCCATAAATGCCACACAACTACATAAAAGCTGATGCCACATGCATAACCGTTGCTATTTTCCTCTGTTCTTGGCAGCTATTTTGTGCATGTACCGCACCTGCAACACTGCTGTGCTTAATGTCACAAACACAAGGTGGTGATAATGCTCTGCAGTGGGAAACGCAGCCTGGCTGGTAACATAAGCTGGGAACGTCCCATAGCCAAAATTGTCACAAACAATAAATAGCAGTGCCCACAGGCATCATATTTGTGATTCTGAAAGGTTTTCTGTGGTATTCATATGCCCTGCTTATGTCTTGGCTCTGATGGTCTTGATGCCATGCTTAGTCAGTCATATATCCTAAAAATAAAGATTATGTCTGCAGTGTCGTGCTCTGTGTTAGGAGTTTTCTGTGTCATACACAGTAACATGGGGTTACTTGTGCTAATACAGATTTTGTGATGCTGAACCATGAGACATATCTGCATAGGCATGCTGAACACAGGACTGGCTGGTGTAACCCATAAAAGCAAAGCACCTCCCCCTCCCAAAGGGGAAAGAGCCATTTCAGCTGTGTTTTGCTCCTAAGCTCTATCTGTACAATCTTCTCCTCTCTTGCTACACCAAGATGTATTTTCTCCAAATTGTACTGAGGAATAGTGCAGTACCTCCACCGCACGGATTTTTATCAGCACTAAGCTTTCCTTACGTTACACGGATATCTGCTCCAGGACATGATGCTATGCAGAGGCTAGTGGTTGCATTTTTAGCTGGCAGTTGACCCAGCAGCACTGATGATTGTAATCAAGCCCTTCTCAATTTGGTTTCTTTGCCACCGTCAGGCACTTTACTGAGCCCTCGACCTGGCTTCTAGGGGCCTGCAGGCATCTGCCTTTGACCTGACTTAAAGTAAGTAATGCCTCTTCAGTTTGGACTTTGAATACTGCGGGATCTTCTTATAACAGCTTTCTGCAGGGAATTTTATAGTCTCGGTGTTTGGCCTCATAAAGACAACAGTTAAGCTCCATCCTTAAAGCCATCAGGTATCCAAAATAGACTTGGAAGAGGGGAGAGGAAACCACCTTATTTTCATTTGAGACCTGGATCAGACACCTGCCAATGCCAGAGGAAGCTGTTCTGCCTGCAGCTTTTCAACTGGTTTATTTTAAAGTCCAGTTTGTTCTTTCTCCTTGTCCAGAGGCCTAGGGATGGTGCTGCACACACCAACCACCATGTCTAGATGCTCTGAGATGCCAGCTGCGTGATATCTCACATGATGACAGGGCCTTGGCCAGCATCCCTTATCTGTCAAGTCCCATATCAGATAAACACTACCTTAACAGCAGCATCTTCATACAGAACTTTTATCTATCCTGGAAATTACCTCTGTCACTACTAAAAAATATCTCTGCCCTCCTTTGGTTTGTGGTAGTTTATCAGTATATAAATATATAATCCAACTGGGCCAGGCCTAGGGATCATCTTTTCTTTGATGTTACAATGGCAAAAATTCCTCTTCTTAGGCCTTAGTTCTTGCCTAGCTACCCCATAAGCAACGCGAGCTGTTTGTCCTCCCTGTTTTAACTCTTGCCTGAGGTCCTCCTGCTCCTGCCTGTTAACACTTGTGAATTAAAACCAGTCTTTTTCAAAAGTGCCTCTTCCTCCTCAATCCTGGTTTTTATGTCTTTTGATTTGACACCACGCCTTACAGCCACCCAAGCCCTGCTGTCCACTACAGGCCCCCTCTGGCCCACCCAGTGGCTCCATGACTCCCAGAGTTGAAGTCCAGCTGGTCAGGTCTCACCTGTGTGTAAGGCAATGGAGATGGAGACTTTTGCCTCATTTTTGAATGAAAAAAAAAAAGAGCCCCTCTACCACATCATGCCCAGACAGCCCCTCACCCTCCACAGTACACAAACTGGTACAGGAAACCACCTCTGATCCCCATTCAATGGCTGTGAGGTGTCGTCCCCTCCCACAAAGCATGGCCAAGATCCCAAATCTGTGCACAAAATGATAACATTTATTGAAAGAGTAATTTTTTTTTAATACAAAAGAAAGCTCTGTACATAGTACTGTGATTACTTCCACATCCTTCCAGAAACACAACCCTGGAAACTGGAGGGGAAAAAAATAAAAATAATCCCACACACACTTATGCGTACACACGCACACACACACACAACCATCAAACCAATAAAATGAACTAAAAATATCACCACACAATAAATGCCATTTCATCCCTGATACACAAGTGTTCTTACAAGTCCGCACTTAAATAAAATACACCATTAGCGTTTAACCAGCAGTTGCCTTTGGGGAGCCAGGGAAGGGATGCAGACACCCTGTAGCTGCAGGGGCACTCCTGCCATCCTGGCCCAACAGCTCCGCTCCACAGTGCTGGCACAAAGTGGAGCAAAGCCAGGCCGCAGCGATGTGCTGGGGCAAAGGACAACACAAACCCCAACCTCGTCCTTCTCCCTCAACAAACTCCTAGATACCCCACCTTGTTTTGGAAGCATCACCAATGAGCTTTCACACACTTAGCAATGGGGCATGGCGCAGCACTCCCATGTGCTCTGAGCTGCAGGGTACACATCACTCTTAGAGCAAGGATGCTAAGGGGAGGCAGCATGAACTGTCACTCTCACCAGATAGGCCAACCCACTCCCCACAAGCCCTTCCCAGGCAACATAACAGACTAAGGGCTGAAAGACCGTTCTGTGAGCTCTGCACAGGGGACTTAGAAGGGACACATCTACATCTGAGCACTAAGGAACGGCTGTAGAGAGGGAACTACAGCCCAGATTTTAAGCTAGGAGTTCAGGAGATACTACCTACACAGCAAGCAGGGATCAGCCACTGCTGGCCACAGGTAGCACTGTTCCACACCAAGAGCAGCAGCAGAACAGCAGTGGGTCCCAGGACCAGAGTTGAACAGGGCAGCCATCAGAAAAGCCAGCCCATCTCTGGCTCCCAGGCACACCACAAGCCGCTTGCTCCTGAGGGATGGGTCTCCCACTTCTAGAGGCCTGCCACTGCTTCACTTGCCTTCTGCCCATTAAGCCCAAAATGATGGAGTCCTCATTACAGGTAAGTGAGAAACAAACATCCCACTATGGTTCAGCTTGATCCCTGGCACATGCTGGTGGGTGGAGAGCACATCTTAAACGCTAATGCTGAGGGAACATGTCCAATGTTACAATACAAACTCAAAAGCAAGGCCCCTTTCCTGCCTCCATGCCCACCCACCCCTCTCCCATCCCCCTAGTACAAACCCCATGAAAACTGTACAGGAGCCAAACCTTTATTCCTTAAAGAATTACATAAATACTGAGTTTAACACTTAGAAAAATAAAATCATTTTCTTTTTTTTCTTTTTTTTTCTTTTTTTTTCTCCAAGGCTTCTTTTGTCTTTAACTTAAAAAAAAAAGTTACAGTAGCTGCTTCTTCCCCTAAGGATTCAGCAGCTTCTCTCACTTGCTCACTCTCCCTCCAGGGACAGGGCTAGGCAGCAGAGCCATTCACAGCAACTCCCATGCAGGAACAACCATGCTCCAGCCCTTCTCCCCTGGCCTTGCTAAGCCTGCACAGGCATCACAGCTGCTCCTCCACAGCCCAGGGCAGTCTACAGATCACTCTGGTGCTCAGAAGAAGAGTCTGCCACCTGCCCAGCAGCTCAGTGCCCCGTGGGCTCTTCCCTTTGACACTTGAGTTGTTTCTCCACCTTGCATCAGACACAGAAATTCAGAAAGCACTGGCTGGAGCTACAGGGGAACATGGAAAAGACCCGGCCACGTTCCCCTGAGTGTATGGAGTCTGCAAGCAGTGCGAGGGCTGAGAGGGAAGTGTGGGGCTGGTCTGGTCACGGAGCCTCCCAGGAGCTCTCCTGTGGCATCGTCGTGCTCCTGGGCATCCACCGACCACCTCAGCTGTGCGAGGGCAGCCACCAGGGCAGAGCCAGGCAGGCTGCAGATCTGCCGGGCAGCCCAGTGAGGAGGCACTGAGGGCAGAGGGCTCACTGTAGTGCATTCGAGGAGGACGGAGCCACACGTTGCAGGCTGTGCCCTGCCCTCCAGAGGGAAGGCACGCAGCCCCAACCAGAGGATGCACATGCAAGCTGGCCACTCTCCCCTGTCCAGAGCCCAGGGTGAGTTGCTGCAGCCAGGACCTGTCACCCCCACAAAGGCACATTGCTGAGGCCAGCAGCACAGCCTTGGCCCGCTCTGCTCTGAACTGCACTCGCAGGACGGCTCTGAGTCTGAGCTGAGCCCCACACAGAGCAAACGCTCACGGGTAAGGTGACCTGGGGCACCCAAAAGGAGCCAGAGCCTCCAGCTGGGAATGGCCCACAGTATTTATTTACAGGACAGAGCAATCCTCCCTCCAAGAGACAAGTTTCTTTGGCTGGCGTGAGACAAGCACAGCTATCGCAGCATCCAAACGCCTCCAAGCCCTGCATGGCCCCAGCACAGCTTCAATCCCAGGTGGGTCCTGCAGCCCGACGTGCATGCCTGCGTGCATGTGTGTGGGTGGGTGCGTGTGTGTGTGTGTGTGCATGTGTGGATGAAGGAAACGTGAAAAGGCAACAATAAATAACTGGTGCAGTCTGTACGAGAAGGAATTGCTGCCAGTCCCGGCACTGGCACAAGAAGCCAGGGACAGCACCAGGCCAGCAGCAGAGGCCTCTCAGTCACTCTTTGCGCTGTGCGAGGTGTCCAAGTTGACCACCTGCAGCTCCGTCAGGCTGCTGCCACTGCTGCTCTGCTGCCCGATGACAGCCATCTAGAGAGAAAAGGGAGGAGGAAGCACTGGGGGACAGCATGCCCTGAGACCATGTGTCCCAGCAGCCAGGGTGGCACTGTCCTTTCTGGGCATCTGTCCAAAGAGGACAAGACTTCCTCACCAAAGGGTGGGTGGCACTGACACCTTTCCCAGGCCTGAGGACTGGCCCTGCCCAAGGGCCAGGGTGTGCCCAGACCCACAAAGGATGTGCGGGCAAGGGCAGAGCAAGGACACCCCCTAAATGCCTGCAAGTACCACTCTGTGCCTACCTGGTGAAGCTGGACAGCTGAGACTGGGATCTGAACGGTGCCTGATGGGGCTGTCAGGAACACTTGGGGGACACCACCTGTCACAGAGAGAGAGAGAGAGCACAAATGACACTGTCCCTTAAACAGTGCTCCCCCATGGGTCCTTTCTCTGAGCTCCATGGCGCTCAGGATGAAGGTGCCTGTTTGCATGCAGGGAGGCATCCCAGGAGAAAGCCACATGTACTAGTACTCCAAATGCTGGGAGAAGCAGGCACAAGCTCTCAATCCAAGTCTTTCCTGCATGGCTTCGTGCTGCTTTGCCACCTCATGCAACCACATATCCTTTCCAGAGTCTCCTAGCTCTCTCTGCTGCCTGTCCCATATGCCACCTGTCCTAGCAACCCTCACCCTTTTTCCCCAGCAAACGGCTTTGCACAGGAGAATGAGAAGGTCTAAAAGCACACACCAAGCAGCACTCTCGCCAAGCCTTTGTACAGCCACTAGGACTGCTCAGAAGCAAATTCTTTTAAATTCATATGCAGCATAAATACATGCAAGAAGGAGAAAAATCAGGGTGTCAGAGCACTTCAGGGAGCACTGACACGGACAGCTGTCTTACCCTGATCCTGGACCTGGCCATGGGACACCTGCATCGCTGAAGGCGCCTGTGAAAAAGCGTTGAGGACTGCAAGTCCACCGTCCGCAAGGCCAGATGTGGGTGCGTACATCACCGCGTGTGGACTGGGGTACATCATGTGGCCACCCACGGTGGTTGGCACAGACGACGTCATGATGGTTGCCGGGAGGGTCACTGGCACCAGGACAGACCACATGTCAGCCACACGAAAGGAGTCCGCCACACTCACACATCTGCTCAGAATCCCTCCCTCAGCCACCCTTGGCCTGCTGTCCTGAAACAGCAGGTACATGGAGATACCCATCGTGTTCTCCCAAGCTCTTGGGGAAAAGGCCCAGGGAACAGGCAGGAGAGCTCAAACCTCTCCTTTTATGAGTAAGTATGAGAGGGCAGAAGAGCATGGTAACCAAATATCCCACGACTGAATTCTACTGGAGGCAAGAGTTTTCTGATGAAGCTTTAATAAACCTCTTGAACTGGATTCAGCCTTTATCCAGGCACATTAACTCAAATTTTGCTGACAACAGAGGTGTCCTCTGCACATACAGTAAAAAACTCAAGTAGGTGTGAGTCAATGCCTTGTACTAGGGGCAATGCTGGCTCATTAAAAAACCACCTGAGAACTAGGCAACCTGTTCCTAACTCCATGCTGCAAATAAGAGCAGATGATGTACCTTGGAGAGGCACTTTGCAAGGTGCCCTACGCACAGCGGCATCTACCTCGACATAGCTTAGCACAGGGGCTGGCAACAGGAATAAATACACCTAGGAAAGTGTCAGAAAGGCTGGGATAGAGTTGGCCTGAAGAAAGATCCTGGGCAGGGAGCAGGCATGTGGTGGTGTGGGTTGTTATCAGCAGTGGTGAGGAAGGAAGACAGAACATGGTTACCATAATATCCCAATTACCTGTTCCACTGGAAGAGGTCTGGGTAAGGTCAGTGCTGCTGTCACTAGAGGGAGACGTCTGCTGCGGTGCCTGGTGCACCTGGATGGCCTGGACTGGGACCTGCTGAGCCATGGTACCACCTGGGGAGAGAGAGAAGCCCATGAGCCTGTGGCTCAGCAGGGATACAGACACTCCGGGCCATCTGCAAGCACCCCCAGTCCCTCTCTGGCCGCACACAGCTCTGTGCTGCGCTGGGGAAGTCTAGCCAAAGGCAGCACATGGCAGAAACTAGGCCCTGCCCCAAAGAGCAGGCCAAAACCTGCTTTTTTCCTGGCACAAAGGGGCCAAGGAGGGGCTAAGCTGGCCTACAGGGCTCCGGAGAGAAAAGGAAAAAGGCCACAGCAGCTTTTGTCCAGCTCCCTGGTATGGTTCAGGAAAGTCTGGGGCTTTCCTCACCATTCCTGGCTCCAGCAAGACACAGCACAGCTGATGTTGGGAAGAGAGGGCCCAGCACATGCCCTCCGCACTGGCCATGCTCAGCCAGCCCTGCAAGGATCATTGCACTGCACCAAGAAGAAGTGCGAGAGCCCAAATGTCCAGGCCAGCTGGGCCCTGCTGCCTTCACACTCCGTAGCCCAGCTCCATCCTCCACAGGGTACTCGGGGAACAGCTATCTTACCCAGCTTGCGATATCAAGGACGTCGCTGTGCCCTTGCACAGGGATTAGAAACCACTGGGCCACAAGGTGTGCACCCCAGAGCTGCAGGAGCACGGCCACACAGCCTCCGACCCAGCCCACTCACTGCAAAACTCTTCAGCTGCAGAGACTGAGCTCTGCACAGAAAGCTCCCCTCAGGCTCAGGTCCTGTCTCCAGAGAGAAGAGCAAGGGATGCTAGAGAACAGGAATCACTGGCCACCTCGCTCAGACTGGGCAACTCCACATGTACCACACCACAGAGGCACACATCCATTTTTCTCTTAGCTCCTCCAGATCACAAGGGAAATCCAGTCCCCTTGCACGGGGACATCACACTGTCTGTCTGGGCCCACGGGAGCCATAAGGGCTCCAAGAACGCATGCAGGCTATCAGACTCACCGACTTTGGCACAAAGAGGCAGGACACAAGAAATACTGTCTCGTTCTTAGTGCTGGTCCCCAGATGATGGCTGTCCCCACAAACGGGAGCCCAGCCCTGCTCTGAAACTCCATCCAGGAGCATGTCCAGCCCCAGTACAACACATGGGGATCAGCACAAGAAACTTCTACCAAAAAAAATGCACACAAGGCAGCACAGCAGACACCTCTCCATCCTCTGCTCTGGGTCACTCCTAATCTACCCTCTGCACTGTAGTTCAGTGACTGACTGCAGATCTAAACACAACAGCAGGGGCAGCTGCTCAGAGCCAACTGTCAGCACTCAAAAACACTCATTGAGCATCTGAGCCCCTGTGGTCTCCTTCCATCACTCCGCCTAGCAGCATAGTTCAGTCTCAGCACAGCTGCACCCAGGACCCATCTCCTCTGCATTTGCTAGCCACAGGGCAAATCCTGGGGCAGGAGACTGACAACCTGATGCTTCTCTTGCTCTGTATACCTCAGAATGCTGCTCCTGCATCTCTGCCCTGTCTTTCCATCTCTCCCTTACAGCTGCAGCCAGGGTGCTCTGCCTCTTTTGCGCTCCCACCTCAGTTGGGGGTCGGCTCTCCAGCCAGAGCCAGGACCCCCACAGACACCTCCAGCCCCCCAGCTCAAGCAAGCGGAGGAGAAGCGAGTGCTGACCTGTCAGCGACACAATCTGCCCTCCAGCTCTGGCAGGGAAGCGGAAAACTGTCTGTTGTGCCTGCTGCAGCTGTCCGGCCATACCCGTGACCACCTGGCCCTGCTGGCTGGAAAGAGCCAGAGAGTGCGGCTGTAACTGAGTGAGAGGAATGGTAGGGGTCCCCGGAGAAAGGGAAGCACCTGCCAAAAGGAGGGAGAAAGAAAGGCTTTGTCACCACTAGCTCTTTTCACTCCCTCCAGGCTTCTCGGTGCTGCCCTGGGGTCCCAGCTCAGCTCCCTGCCACTGTGCCCTTCCCAGCAGCAGGGCCAGCTATAAGCACCCTAAGGCAACAGTCACTACATGACTTTTCTCCAGCCACTGACCTGGCTGAGCTCACACAAGGAATCCCAGACATGTTCATCCTATAGCAGCAACCACTCTGCTTCCTCCTGCCACTAGGTCTCCTCCCCGCTGGAGAGGGCAGTGACACACTCCGGGTGCAGAGGCGGATGGATGCAGCCCTCAGCCCCTGAAGGCACTGACCTGACATGAGGGTGAAACCGGTGGGTATCGGCATGAGGCCCCCGGATGTCACTGCACTGGCTCCAGTAGTCTTCAGCACTGTCCCGTTGGCACTGGTGACGGCATTGGGGCTGATGCTGGCAGACACTGGCGCCAGGTAATTAGTGATGGGGAATGACGGGCCACTGCTGACCTGCATGGAGGTCGAGGTGGTGGGGGCTGTTGTCCCCGGCAGGTTGGTGACAGTGAACGCTGGTTTCAGTGCGTCCTGGGAAAGGAGAGATTGCGACAACTCAGACCAGCCCTTTGATCCGGTTAACATCTGCCCATGAGACTGAACTGGGCTCCACAGGTTGCATCCCTGTGCTAAACCATATCCCCACAGCCCATTGCCAGCACATGGAGCAGAGCCAGGGTAGAAGAGGAGTCACTTGTAAAAACGCGAGGAGACTGTACCCAATAATGCAGCACGAGGAAAGCTGGAGAGAGCTCAGCGTAAACCCTGGATAGGAGCCCAGGGCCACATGGGTCCCCTGAGAGACTCCCCTGCAATACACTAGCAAGGAAAGCAACCCTTCCCCTCCCCAGGAGCCCCCATAGCCTCTAAAAGGAGAACAGCATCTTTTTGGCACACAACAGGCAAAAGCAGTCTTTGCAGGGACAGCCGTAAAGGCAAACACAGTCTCCTGACAGGAACACACACCACTTCCCTTATGGCAGGAAACACATGGCCAAAAACTAGCCGAGAACTAGCTCTTAAAGGCAGCCACACACCAAAAGCAGCAAGAGAGAGGTAAGTAAGGCTAAACACAGAGGCCAGGGAGGCCCAAACCCAGTCCTGACAGCTGCTTTGGCTGGCCCTGGGGAATGCCTCTACAAATCTCCTGGAGCAACGGGGAAAGCCTGGCCAAGGGAAGCACCCATTTGCCAGTCCCCTAACAGGAGATGGGCATGAGGCAAATGCTCCGTGTTAGCGACAGCCAGCATACACCATAGTTCTGCAAGGAGCATCGCAGCTCTGTGCCTGTCTGAGGACAACATCCCCAGGGAAGCCAAGCACCAGGAGGAAGAGGGCCCCACACTGGGCCAACACTAGCCCGAGAGGGTGGCCTTCTGGGTCTGGGAACAAGGGAGGAACATCTACGCCAGGCTGCAGGGCACCTAACACCCCAGTTCTGCAGCCACCAAGCATGTGGCTGGATGTGGCTTGGGCCTGCAGGAACCAACCAAGCCCAGCACAATCCCTGCTACCCCTGGCAGTCACGCTTCACCCAACATGCCACCTTCCCTCAAATCCCCTCTTGGATACTCAAGGTCTCCATGGCCCCTTTTCCTGGCCTGCTCAGCTGGCCAAAAGCAGACTGCAAACACACTGCTCCACAGGAGACCATGCCACAGGCCACAAGGGACCTACTGTCACCGTGCCCTGCCACAGCTGCCAGCACGCCTGGGAAGAGTTAAGGCTGCCACACTCCCACTCCTCCCACCGCAGGCTGGTGGGCCCAGCTCTCCCTCGTGCTAAGCCTTGTTCCCAGCTTGTCAGGCTGCCAGGAACGAGGAATTCACAGCTCAACGAACAGCTAAAAAAGGGAAGGCAGCCCATTTTGGACAGGGAGAGCCAATCCCGGGCACTCAGCTGTGTCCCAGGGCCTGGGGAGGGAGGAGAGCAACGCCCGTCCGCCTTGGCACCATAGTCCCTGAAGTCCGAATTAGAAGAGGCACGTGATAACGGAGCAGAGCCCAGCAGAAGCACTTTCCATTAGCTCAACCACAAACTCCTGCCACCCCACATGGGACAGAAGGCTGTGGGCACCCTCCCCACATGGGTGACAGGGCAGAGCTCCCCCAAGCCCACTAGGCCATGGGAGCCACAGCAGAGCAGGGTGGGTGCTGTTCTAGCTGGAAAAGCCACGCTCCCTCACTCCCAGGTGCAGCACTGAAGCTGTACACCCCTGAGATGACTCCAGTCCCCAAGCAGCCATCCATCCAGCATCCCTCCTACACTTTGTACTCTGGAGGGCTGGAGGAAGCATCCCAGAAGATTCACGACACCCTGCTGAGGGTGTCTAGAAGCACAAGGGCAAACCTCAGTATGATCAGAAGAGCAAAGGTTCTTGGGAGGGATGCTTAAACTATGCACACCCCATCTCTGCTCTTCTCACTCTGCCACAGATGAGACTTGGATTCCTCCTATCTTTGCTGTGTTTCTCATGGGCTGCAGCACCAGCACCCAGAACAGAGAGCTGTGAGAGACATTGGGATTGGACACCCACTGCCTTCTCCCCGTGCCTGTGTGGGATGTCTCAGAGCCCCTGGGCACCGTGGCTCCCCACAGCACCCTGCAAAGCCCAGACTACATGCACCAGGTCAGTCTTCAATAGGAGCCAACTCATGGCTAGGCTTTAGCAGAGATTACCCAAGGGGCCACAGACAAGGCCTGAGGTAGCACAGCAGTCCTGAAAGCCCTTCCCTTCCTGATCCAGCTGCACATCCATTCCCCATCATAGCTCACTGCAAACTTCCGATTGCAGAGCAGTGCCTGGGGAATCAACACGCAGCAGAGAGGTGCAGCACAGTGGCAGGAGACATCTACACAGACCCATAACCACTGTGCATGCCTGAGAAATGCTATAGGGCATGAATGGACCACAGGGCGTGGCTCAGGCCACCTGATGTCCATCCTGAACCGTAGCAGGGTCTTGGGGACAGAAACAATCCCACTTCACAGCTTCTTGAGGCTGCCTGGAACAAAGCTGTTCAGCACAGCCTAGACTCAGCAGCCAGCATAATTACACAGACATTGCAGGACAAGCGGTCTTAGTGGTATATGGGAAATCCCAATCTGGTCTCCAACACGTGGTCTGCATTCCAGATAGGGCAGAAAGTCCCACCTTTCCCCTACCCCAAGAGATGACCAGATCAGGGCTACTCCTATGCTCTCACCCCAGTCTAGAGCACCTGAGCTTCCTCCAAAATCCCCTCTCCCACGTAACCAAACCTGGGAGATTACAGAAGGGCGTTGTGTCCTTTGGGGTTTGCAAAAGATCAGACAGATCAGTGCACAACAGCATCATCGTAAGGATACAGCTGCTGTCTCGAAAGTACAGCACAGCCCAGTCCCAGCTGCAGTCCGAGCTCAGCTCCATGGCAGGGAGTGTGGGTTTGGCACAGCAGGAGGATCTTACAGCTGCTGCTGGCTGTAGCACAAAGGAACACCAGCGGGCTGCTGACTGCAACTGCTGTGCTGCAGTACCTGAACACAAGCAGGTTTTGTCCATACAGAAGTCCAGGAGGCAGAATTCACAGGAAGACCAAGGAGCAACTGCCCAACCCTCTCAGACCATTTTATGTGGTGGACTTGACAGTTCAGGCACTTAATTTCCTGCCACCTCCTCCAATGAGGTACCTGTAACCCAGCCCCATGTATCACCCAGCCCTTAGCAAGGATGCCAGCCACCTAACATGGCCCATCCCCAGGCTCCCTTCATCCTTAGAGCGCTTCTCAGTCTATCTGAACTGGGCTGATCTCTGTCAGAGCACCAAACCAGCCCTGCAGAAGGGTCAGCCCTGGGGAGGGTCAGAGTGGGACTGTCCGCAGCCCCAGGGCTTGCCGTGACAAGAACCCCCAGCAGGCCAGGGGCGGGTTCAGCCAGGACATCAAGCAGAAGACAGGGCTCCTGCAGCCCCACACCAAATGCTGGCTGTGGCCACAAGGCACTCTAAACTGAGCATTATCACTCAAGAGTACTGGTATGGAGCCTGCAGCACACTAAGTGAAGGCTGGATCAGAAAGCAGACAGAGAGAAGTCGTGTTAAGATCACCTCTGCAGAGTAACTGCACCTCAAGAGCACATCTCCTTTGGGGCCACCTGGCAGTATTTTCAGGGTAAAATATTTGGGGACATGATGTAGACAAGCCCCATGCCAGCGACAGCTCAGCTACCATGCACAGCACTTCCTGCACCTCTAAATTACTCCAGGCACAGGTAATCTGTCTCCCTACAAAATGCCCACAGGATATTTTCATCCAGGAGAAGCGCAAGAGACACAAGTCCTTGCAAATGCAGGCTGCACGAGGGAAAAATTGCTGGTGACAATGGGCTCCTTTGCACATTAGAAAGGGCTGGCACAGCTCACACCAGAGGCACCCAGAGGAGTCACCAGACAGGCACAGCCAGGACTGTCGTCAGGCTCCCAGCAGCAGGAAGCCTTCCCAGGGACTCTTCTGAGCTTCAGCACAAAGCTCTCCAGCCAGCAACACCTTGGCCCAACACAGCTCCCCTGCCTGCAGGGATCTCTGGGACTGCTGCTACTTCCCAGGGCTCAGCAGCAATAAGCTTTTGCTTGGTGCAGCACTGCGCAGACATAGGGAAGAGGACACAGAGGATCCCGCCCCCCCTGCCACCAGAGCTGTTGGGATGCCACAGGATAAAAACACACTGCTGAACACTCCAGCAGCCACAGACAACAGACTGGGCACGTCTCAGGGCTGCACTCACTGCCTTTGGGACTACAGCACAGAGATCTCAAACACCCTTTTAATGTTGAGCAGCTACTGCATGGCAAGGATGCTGCTGTGGCTTGTGTAGTTGACTGGAGGGCTCCTGGGCAAGGCCACAGAAGGACATTTCTACAGCACACCCAGTACACATGCCATGACCACACGTACAGCAGAGCTGCAGCAATCACAGCACTCAGCGGCACTTCACGCAGGCCCAGGAAGCTGCAACACAACCTCCAGTTCATCCCAGCCTTGCACCACAAACTCCCCCGTCTCCCATCTCCAAGCACCTGCAGACCAAAGCACCAGCCTGCAAAGGAAGCAGCAGGGATACAGGAGCCAGCTTTCCTGCAACAGCTCCAAGCACCAGCAGATACAGGGACAAAGACAAGGCCCTTCCAGCAGGAAAGAGCCATTGCCTGGCTTTGCACCCATGGACAGGCCCTCTGCAACACCCTGGGCAAGAGGCCACAAGTAACACAGGCAGGCGAGGGCCAGAGCCTGCAGGGACACCAGGCAGGGAGCAGAAATGGTCCATCCAGCAAAATGTTTCCATTCCCCATGTCCTCCCTGCCCCCTTCCAAAACAGCACCAAAGCAAGAGACAGCTGCAGCTTATAAGGAATGTGAGGGGCCCTGCCAGGGACTCTGGCGAGGGAAACCAGGCCTTATAAGGCCATGGAGGCAGAATCAAATTTTTATCAATGAGTGCAAGAGCATGGAGACGCCTGGGGAGAGATAACGGCGCCAAGAGCTGGCCAGGGGGTGGGCTGGGCTGGTAGGGAGCCCCACTGCAAAGACCCAGGCCAGGACACCTGCCACCCGCTTCCCTCCCTCTCAAATCACCACTACCACCAGCCAAGTGAAGGAGCCAGTCCTGAGAGGCGACAGCAGGAGCTCACTGGAGCTGCAGCAAAAAGGGACCCATCCTCAGCTTCCCAAGCTGCCATTCATGGAGGGCTGGGGATGATCAGGGCTCCCTGCACAGCCCATGTCCCTTGGTGCGCCCAGACATGTGGCTGAGCACAAGAACGTTACCTTGGTCTCCCCACTGCTGTCCGACTCGGACACCTGGTAGGTGAGGTCCGTCTCCTCAAAGCCTGTGGCGCTCATGCGCTGGTCAGTGGTGGGGTCCGAGCGTGGGGGCGAGTCTGGGGAGTTGAGGCACGTTTGGATCAACGCCTTCCCTGTCTCACTGGTGATCATGGGCTGCAGCTTCCGCGTGGCAAACGTGTACACATGGCCCGTCTCGCTGGCCACCAGCAGCAGGACTTGAGTGCCGGTCAGTGTGGAGAGCTCATACGCCTGCCAGCAGCACAAGGGAAGAACAGGGAGTCACAGACAGCAGGAACACATACAGTGCGGGACAAGAGTCCCTGGCATGTCCTTTTGCTCACACCAACTCCAGCTCTGTCATCCCAGAGGAGCTGTAGTCTCTAAAACTAACTCAAGAGTGGCTCCCTACATGTTGAAGTGCCCCATGCTGTGTTCCCATCTCCTTTAGCATGTCCTTAGTAGATGTGCATGCCAAGAGGCCAAAGGAAAAAAGCAGGAGAGCAGCAAGAGAACATGGGGACACTGGGCTGTCCCCATTCTGGAAATCCCACCCGCTTCTCCCGACACAACTGGACGCCTCTCTCCCTCACCTCTGCTAAGCCCTGTGAGAGGATGCTACTCAGCCCACGCGTGCGTCTCTGCTACCTCTTTCCCCTCACAGACACCCCAGCCAGGCCAGCACCCAGGTTCTCCTCTCAGTCTTCACAGTCCTGAGCACTGCTGCACCCAAGCACTCCTGCAGTGAGGCCACCATCCCCCAGGATTGACCTGTGGACTAGGAAGAGCACTCTTCATATGCCATCATGGCACACTCAGCACTCTTGCACAAGCCACCACAAACAGGATAGCCTCATTCTGCATCCTGTGCAGCTGGGGTGTGCCCAGTGGTACCCCACAACCATTTCACCTTCCCGGGGTGCCCAGCTCAGCCGGCATGCAGCACTGCCCAGCTGTTCAGAGGATGCTGTGAGCACCGACAGGGATGCAGATGAGCCAACAGCATCCAACCGCACGCAAACTCAAAGTTTCTAATCTGACTTTGCACCGTGGCTCCAGCTACCAGGAACCACAGAGAGCACTCCGAAGCGCCAGAGACGCAGCA